TCTATCCAAAACTCACGATTGAAGCCAGTTAATTTATAGTATTTAGGGTTAGGAAGTGGTGAAGTTCTTGTATGACCAATGAACTCATTTTCAACTCCCTTACTTAAGTTTGAATATAATATAGCTTGCTTTCTATCCCAAATACCTGGAAATCTAATTTCGGAAAATTCATTTTTCCTCGGAAGCATTGCATCATAATTGAAAACATTCTTGAAATCATCACTTGGTTCAGAGATTTGAAATCTTATACGTAATGGATTTTTTTTCTTTTTAGCTACTTCATTGAATGGTGAGAATACAATGAATTGACAGTCATGTGTTCCATCTTCATTTTCATTAAATTCATAATGAAAGTCTATAAGTTGTGGCTGACTACCTTCTTCTTTCAGTTGTGCAAAAAACTCACGTAAAGGCTGTAAAGTTTGTACTTCAATGTTGAACTTTTTCTCGAACATTTCATTGAAGGAAATCATACATTCTTGTAAAGTTGTATCGTCTTTAAAGTATTTGTATATGTGAATGTTTTGGGCACTTAAAGACTGTTCGTCATTTTCTATCTCGACTTGAAGTATAAAGTCAACTTTCCTAAATGCACGTGTTATATACATAGATGTTATGCCAATGTACTTCTCTTCATTTATGTTCACAATCCAGTCTGTTGGAAACTTAAACGTTACTCTGTTCCCCTTTATTTTGACGTCAGGGTTTCACTACTGAACGCAACAGATAAAGGTATTTGTCTATACATTTAATTCGGATAAAAATAAACCATTTACTCTTTCTTTGCTTCAGCTTCTTTTGTTGCATGCTAAGATCAGTCATAATGTAAACCTCTCAATTTTATTGTCGTGGGAAGTATCTCAATTCCTTCAAAAAAATTGAAAAACTATTTAATTTTAAAAATATAATACTTTTAATTAGTTAATTAATTGGAGATATTTTTAAAAAATCACTTTTGATAATACTTTTGAGAACTTTAATTCAAAAAATATATTCAAAAATATCCAGGATATCAAGAGGGAATTGTTCCTTATGAGGTATATAGTTATGATGTATACCTCATAAGGAACAATTCCTCCTTAAAACGAGAAAACTTGTTCGAAATTGTTTATCATTTCGAACAAGTTTTCTCGTTTTTAATAAGAAACTAAAGGCTATGAGGCATTGATTATATATTAGTGCCTCACAGCCTTTTAGTTTCTAATAGATAGCTGGGAAACTTTCTCCAAATGATAAGTTATTCAGAGAAAGTTTCCCAGCTATCAAGAGGGAATTGTTCCTTATGAGGTAATATAGTTATGATGTATACCTCATAAGGAACAATTCCTCCTTAAAATCGTAGACATTTTTATACTTATTAATCAACCATTCAAAATCATATTCCTCTGAAAAGTAATTTTTAAAAAAATTTAGAATTTTAATATATAGAGCTTGAATTTCATACAATACCTATATATTTTCAATAATGGAATTTGAAAACCATTCTCAAAAGTTCTCAGAAAACCTTTTTTTCATTAATTTTAAGAAATCTGAGTATTAAATTAAGTGATAAATTCGTTTGACACTACTTTAATTTTAAAATTCAAAAAATTATATGTGCTTCTTAAAATGACTCAAAAAAATTTTATTATAAAATAATATATAATATTAAAAATCCCACAACATTTTTTTACTTTACATAATCGTACCTCCTCGACGATTAATTTCCACTCAATTTCTATCGTTGACCGAACTTAGCATGCAACACTTTAGCTTTTGCTTCAGCTTCTTCTCTAGCTTTCTTCGCCAGCAAACGTGGGTTCTTTTGTCTTCCAGCAGCTAATGCAGCAAGTTGTTTTTCACTAAGTTTTCTCTTTGGTCTCTCTGGCTTTTGTTCTTGTTTTTGTTCCTTCAGTTCGGATAAAATTTGCTCACGAATTTCTTTCTTCAATGCTTCAAATCTATGACCCCTTGGGTCTTGTCCGTAGGGTTGTCTGAGTCATTTGACTGCAGATAAAAAACAAAATTAAAACTTTAACCGATGTAAAATGAGCTTGTCAAAATCAGAGCGAGAGTCTATTATATTAAATGACGCAAGAGGAATACAACATCCTTTCTATTACGTAAGTCAGAGTAAAGATGGTAAAATATACGTAAGAAAAAGAAAGGTTCCATTAGCGAATGCAGAAAGCGACAACATTAAGGTGTATGGCAAGGGTGAAGCCCACGAAGCCCATGTTAAGCCTTCTATTCAAACTGAAAAGTCAATAGAACCAGAAGAAAAGAAGCCAGATGTACTTTCAATAACGAACCAAGAGCTTATTGCAAAGTTCGTGAATTTCATTGAAAAGCAAACCGAGTCAAAGAACCTGACCCACCAGTGAAGAAGTTGAGACAAAAGAGAATGTACAGTTCATTGAAAATGTCAAGAACAACTTCCACCACGAATGCCAAGAAGAAGAGTGAGAATAATGAAGTAAATAGATATTTTTATCTGAAGTAAATACATGCAGAACGAACAGTTAAACGAATTTACTCCAGCAGAGCATATTCATCAGATTCGCTCATATTTCGATATCATAGACAATGCAGTTCAAATTGGTGACACTAATAGAAAATATTCTGACGCAAAGATTCCATCACAACCTGGAACTGCTAAAGATACACATGGGTAACATTCAATCTCTCACCTCCTGGTGAAAATATGTTGGACCTTTACAATACATTCATTACGTATAAAATGGAAGGTCAATTTATTGTAGATAAAGAAATTGGTTCAGGGTTCCAATAAAACAAACCCACCAGGATTTTGGATTGGTTTCGATGACGCTTTCTATGCAGTTGCTGGATATCAAATCCTTGCAAATGGTCGTATCGTATATTCTCAAGACAACGCAAGAGAAGAAGCATATATAACTTCAAACTCACAAAACTACCGAACAAATAAAGAAAGTAGATGTTTTCTCAAAGACTCGACATGAAAGATGTATGGAGTCATTCGGGAACATGCAGAACAGGACAATATTGTTAGTGGTACAATTACAGCAGGAAAATCATTTGATTTTAAGCTTCGTTTAAGAATTCCTGTTAGAAGATTCCTTCCATTAGAAGCTATTCGATTTATTCCAGCTTTTGCAGGAAACATTCAGCTTAAAGTAAAGTTCAGTAGCGACGCCTTACAATGCACATCTATATCTGTAAATGATATCATTGCTTTCAATCCAACTCTTAAAGTTGCATTTGCTTCAGATTCAAATCACCGACAAATAAATTTGTTCCATGGAATGAAACCATTCACTATGATAACGAAGGCAGTAGAAGCTAGTGGAACAGTTACTATTACAACTGTAACCCAGCAACTATTTCGAATAAAGATGGATTTTAATGAATGTTTCATTCATCCAAAATCATTCTCTTAGACCCTAACATTTATACAGAACTTGTAGAACATTATACAAACGAGGCTTTATGTTTTCCTGTTAAAGTTATGGATTGGATTCCTATGGACGGTTCATTCTCAAAGAATACAGATAGTTCAAGTGCAAACATTTACAGCAGCTTATACGCCTATTAATGTTAAAAAGTATTTGGGCACTATTTAGAAAGAAAGACAACTATTATGTTAATTTTGAGAACCCTAAGTTTCAATATCTTCAGCTTTCCATGGGAGCTTATGGAAATATGCCTGCAGAACCTGAAAAATCATATGGACCTGTATTTTATGAAATGGTTGCGAACGCTTGCAATACAAAAATGAATGATAGGATTTAATGAAGATGTTATGAGGTCATTGGTGGATGATGGTAGTGTGGAACATAAATGGGATAGCTATGACAACACACATTTCTTATGTGGTTTTCCAACAGAAGTGGACTTTTGCTTCCAGCAAGGTCAAACATCTACTGCTCCAATAACATACAAATTGTCTGTTAAAGACCTATTGAACTAGCAACTGAAAATGTACCAAAGCCACTTATTGGATTTATGAGGGATTGTTGCTTTGCCATTCAGGTGCGTGCTAATGGAATCCCAATAATAAGATTAGATGACTATAACTTAGCTACGGACGACAGTGAGGAATAAAGGATGAACGTTTATTTTTAAAGCTTATAAATGAGTTCTTCATCAAGCTCTCGTGAACCTTCACCATCTATGAAACAAACTTTACCAAACGATTATGGAGCACTATTGAATATTTCTTACGAGCTGCACAATGGCAAAGAGCAGTCTCACCAAGGTTAGGTGTTCCACCAGCTCCTGTCAAAAATAGCATTTGGTCAAGTCCTTATATAAAAATATGGTCTCCCACTAGGTTTGCTAGCTACAGCAGGAGCAGTTATGATGTTTGAAAAGAAATAAAGCAAATGTTGTAAATAATACTGAAGTAGCTGAAGTTAAACAAACTCCAACACCTTCGCCAAACCAACGCCTTCACAAGCAAAACCTTCAATGACTCCTGAACCTATGGAAGTACAAACTCCTGTTCAAAAGTCAACTCCTAAACCGACTCCAACATTTAAACCAGAACCTACTCCTCAAAATAAATCGTAAAACTCCTGCGTTTCCTTACTGAAAAAATAACGTTATTTTTATTTAATATTAAAATTTTTATTTGATTGAAATGACAAATAAAGTCACTGAAGCAATGAAACAAAAGTTTTTGGTAGAATACATTAAATCAGGAACTATTCCAGAAGGTTTTTACATTATACTATGAAAGATGGTAGAGTTCAGTTTAGAAAGATAAAGCAACCATTAGATAGAGAAGGTATATTAAGGAAGATTAAACTTCATGAGGACAACATTGCTGAACTTAAGAAGAAGTTAGAAGAGTTGGATAAAGGAAGAGAGTTATAAAGCAATGAATTCAACAGGGTGAAAAAAGAGGTGAAAAAACAGGTGAGATCTCACCACTTCACCTAAATTTATTTTTGTGCTATGTTTTCATACGTGTGAGGGTGGTGATATCATTAATTTTTAAGTTTATTTTTTTATTTTATTTTTTATTTATTTTTATATAAATGACGAAAACTATTGAGATAACAAACTACAACGGTCATGAGTTCAAGAATTTGTTCTTCGTTCCTCGTGAAAATACATTCTATCAGATACGAGGGAGAAAGGGTAAAGTTAGTTTGAGCGTTTATGACTACAAGCATAATGGAAAGTTTATACAAGCATACGATACAAACGGTAAACGTGTTTCATTAGCTTTGTCAAAACTTACTAACATTCATTTTGACAGTGATTTTGACCTATATGAAGAAGAAAGTGAGTCAGAAGAATATGAACTGTTGTGTGAAGCACAGCAATGGGAGGAGTTGCAATACTTTTGTAAGTGAGAACGTTTATTTTTTACATTAGTGAGGTGAAGTGGTTGGCGGCTTTGTAAATATTTAAGGTTAAGTTAGTGTTGTCGTTTGTGTTGTAAAATATACGTTAACGGTTTTGTAAAGTGTCAAATTCACAAGTATTGGGTAAGGAGGCGCGCAGTGCCTTCGTACCCTTGACTTGTATACTAACTTATATCCAGTGAAGATAGAATAGAAGTTTGGAGAAGGTGTATAAAACTTTATACCTCGAACTGAAAAATCTTCTAACTTTGACAATAAGATATCCCAAGCATCTAACATCTTCATTCCAACTTGTACAACTTTTATTTTCTTAAGTTTCTGTCTACATTCTTGTTCAGACACTATTGTTGCTCTTGGTTTGTTAAAGACAACATCCCATTCTTTCATGACATAACATTCTGGGGCAGAGTCAACATAAATGACTAAACGTTTCAAATTCTCGACTGCTTTGTTATAGTCTCTAAATGGACACATATTTCTGAATGCTTGGAAGTCATAAAAATCTGAAACATCTATTCTGTACATTTTTATAAAAATAAAAAAATATTATTTTTTTATTCTTGACTTTGTTGTTCCATTTGTTGCATTTGTTGTTCTTGAGCTATTTGTTGTTGAAGTTGTTCTTGTAATACAATACTTTCACCAGTTGCATCTTCCAATTCGAAACTTTCTGCTGTCATTGAAATACATAGGACATAAAAGTTTTACAGGAACAAAGTTTGCGTCAACTAATGTCAACGTTATACTTGCCAAAGTGTTTGAGTTCACTAAGGTTGAAAATTCTGCATTCGAATGAACAATAGGCAAACCAGCAGAGAAAGTATTGTTTATACGCATAAGTATCTTTTGGTCATAATAGTTTCTGTCGACATTCGAATAACACTTTGAACCTAAGTTTGAAACAATATATAAGATTGGTGTGCTTAATGTCAATGGAATAGACATTCCTTGTATGACACCTTTTCCTGTTTATAGGAAACTGTTGTAGTAAAAACCAGATATAAGTTTTGTATTATAGCTCATATCATTAATAGTAAACTCAGTCGGACATCCAAACATAATGAAACCTGCTCTAGTTGCAGCACATGTTACACCCGTACTTAAAGTATTAAATAAGTCAACAAAACCTGTTGGTGGTATATCTGAGTAAGTATCTTCAAAGGAGTTTTTTTACCATTCACAACAATAAAGTCTTCTGGTGTCAAAAGAGCAAAACAGGCTTTAGTCGTCATTGTGTTTAAGGTTAGTTTACAATATCGTCCTTGAGGACTTTGTAAGTTTGTTGTTATAGAATTATATGACTCAGGGTTTTTAGTCGTAATAGTATAAACCATTATGTCTTCTGCCATTTACTTAGCAAATAAATTTTAATGAAATGTTGTGGTCGTCAAATATTTTTATAAACGTCTGGGAAACTATATTTTAAGTTCAACGTTCACCTCCTTTCATAACGTATATCTTGTCAATGACATTATATGAAACACCACAGCAACTAATGTCGGGTTCTATTTCTTTGATGTTTATATCGTCTGCCTCTGTCAAAAGTTTCAATAGTTCTTTCAAAACTTCATGAGGTGCAATGACATATGAGTTCATTTTTACAGGGTTGTGTTCGACCAAGTTTAACATTATACTTAAAGCTTGACAAATCTTCTCCTGAGTTTGAAGTTTGTCTTTCAGTTGTTGGTAGTCGTTTCGAATATCTGCAACAGAACTTAAGTCTCTGTTAACTTCAGGATATGTTGGTTCTTTTACAGGAACAATTGTTATACCATCTTCGTCTTCGTATGGTTTCCCCACTTCAACATCTCTGTCTTTGACATTGACAACAACACTTTGACTGTTTGTTTGAGTTGGTGAATTTAACTTCACATCTGCCACCGCCATTAAACCTTTTGAAACACTTACGCTTCTATTTTTCGGAAATGACATTTTACTTAGAATAAAAAGATGGACGTATTCGGATATCTTATTGAATTGAAGCAGAACAAAGTTTATACTCACAAACAATACAAATACATTGACAGAATAGTTCTTTACACAAACAATGGAAAATGTTATAGAATAGCAGTCTTTACTGAACCTAAATATTTTCATAAAGCAAAGAAAGTTGGTATAACTGAAATGGTGAAAGTTCTTGAAGCAGACAAAAATATAACTTCAAAACTTACAGATATTTCTAAAGGTAAGTTTATCTTACAATATTATGTCAAAACTGGCGTACTGTCAATATTTGACGGAGAGAAGTCAGTTCAAGAACAACTTACTGACCTGCTGCCAAAATCTGCTCGATGGAAGCTGTCGTTATGCCAATCTGAGGAGCCCAGCAGGTTTCATCGAACGAATCTTCAAAAGAGCATCTTCCGTGAAAAGTGCTATTGTTTTGTAAACTTCTTTGCTCTCAATTCATCTGGACCGTCTCTGTCACCAGTATATTGTATTTGTACAGTACCAACAGTTGAAATACCACCCATAAAGTCTTCTGAGTCAGCAAATGGAATGCCAAGCAAAAGTTTGAACGGTCTCCATTTGTATATTGAGTTTTTTGACCTCCTGTATGAGTCCATACTTTCACATATGGCATAATAGAACTTTGCATTTCAGGTGTTAATGGTTGTTGTGAAGTTGTTGTTAAAGTTCATAGCATCTAATGTCAAGTTGTATGACCTCATATCCTCAACTGTAAATATTCTCTCTCTTGGATAATATTTGCCATCTATGTTTATATGATATTTAATACCAGAGGTTGTAGAAACAAGAATAGTCATTTATAGTTCGTCTGACAGTTACAAACATGTATCTGCATGTTTCATTGCAGTTGTTAAAGCAATATCTGTTCTTGCACCTGCGGCTCCTGGATTTTGGTTTCCAACTTCACCTGCAAAGTCTTTGACAGATATTTGGTGTATAGGGAACATAAGTGAAACTGCAATATATTTGGCAGCTAAAGCATTTGAAATATCTGGGTCCAACATATAAACGGCAAGTCTGCTTTCTATTCTCTTGCATTCAAACTGTTCGCATGTGAACTTAACTGGGTCCCAAGCAGTTCCAGCAGCATTGAAATAATAGTTTACTTCATTGTTGAAGTTTGAGAAACCAAAGTCTAAGTCAACTTTGTCTTTGCAAAATTCGGCGAATGACGTTTGATTTGTTCCCTTTACGTCTGTAAGAGTGAATGGGTCTTGTGTTGGTGCAATGACTAAGTTATTTTTGCTTGGAGTAAGTTCGATAGAAATTTTTCCTGCCCAGTTTGGCAAGTATCTTAAAAACCTGAAGATGAGGAAAGATGACAAAGGAACTCTAAGTTTCAGTTTTACTTTGGTTACTGCTGCTGCAGTTTGTCCAGAAAGGTTAACATAAACTCCTGGAACGTTAGGGTCAAGTCTTCTTATTTTCTCAATAGTTGCATACTGGTCTGTTTGTTCTCTAGCTTGTGGTTGTACTGAGTTTCTCAAAGCGAACCATTCATAGTTTGCTCATGTTTACTGTTTGAACTAAGTCAGAGTTAGAATATATCTATATCCCATGAAAACTTCTGGAGCATATTGGTATCCGACATAGAAAATTCCATTGCAACCTTTCTTGTCAGACAACTTGGCAGAAGTTTTATTTCAATGTCTTGTTCCAGTATAAGAATGAGTTGTCAATAGAAATAATATGAAACCTGTCGCAAGCAATATCTACTGTTGTTGAAGAACCTTCTCCAAACTCACCTACGTTTCCATAAGAAACAGCAGTTGTATATTCGTAAGTTCCAGGAACTATTTCTGACCTTCTAATGGCATTGTCGCATTCGTTATACCATTCGGAAACATTTCCGTTCATGGCATCCAAAACTGTTGGCGTTATATTCTGAGCGGCGTACATTTCATATGGGTAAAATATAGAATAGTTGGATTTATGTGTCATAATAGAACCCACTCGTACCAACTTTACTTTCTTCCTGACTGAGTTTTTAACTCTTCTTTTTCCTTCATTGCCACTACTTTCACTAGATGAAGTTACTTCTTCACTACTTTCACTTTGTTCTACTCTTCTCTTCTTCTTTGGTGTCGCTTTTGTAACTTGCCCTCTGCTTCAAGTTGTTGCATCTTTGCCTCATGTTCACCTAGTATGTTGTAAATTTCCCATGTCCTTTTTGCCTTTGGGCTCTGGTCGCCCATCTCAGGTAACCTATATCCTAGAAAGATTTTGTCATAGTTTGTATTTGAGTCTTCGCTTATTGTTTGCATGACTCTTTCCTGAGTTTCCGGTTCAAGCTCTTCAAACAGAGCTTGTCCATATGGAATAAGCTCGTTTCCAAATATATGTTTTTGTAGCCATTCTGGTTTTCTTTCCATGTAACCAATAATATCTTTTGTGAATGGGAAAGCTTTTACCCAACGTTTCAGTCTTGCGTCATTTATTTCTGTAGTTGGTTTTATTTTGTCAAGGAACATGTTTTTCAATACTAACATTTCATTTGGTACTGTCCATTTGAGTTTTCTTAAATATTCATCCCTTCTCAGTTCATTGTCTGCAAAGTAAGTTTTTATGACATTTTGCAAACTTTCGTTTGCAAGGTCATGTACAATAGGTTCTCTTCCTTCTCTCTCCCTAACTTTCTTTCTAAACTCTTCACCAAATATACCATCTCTATGGTTCTGTGTAGTTCTTTGAGATAAATGTTCTAGAACGTCAGGTGTTATATTTCCTCAGCCATGTTCATTTCATACTGGTCCAAAATATCTGCATCTTTCATATCTTTCAATGGCATTAAAGCCGCGCTGAAAATACCCGTTATATCTGGTTCACCATTCACTTCCATTGCGTCTACAACTTCTTGGAATTGAGGTTGTAAGTTTATGAACCACCTATCCGGATTAGCTTTATGACCCCATCTCATTGTAGTTCCATAGTCTGCAGAAACAAAAGTAGGTTTGTTTCCATATTGGTTAGGTTCTGAATGAACTTTAAACAATGTTTCATTTCTATATGTTTTGTTGAAATTTAACCTTTTATTTTCACCGAGTTCAGCCAAAGATTGAACGTTATATGGTCGTAAGTAAAAAGGATTATTGTATTTGCGTACATTTTCTTTCAGTACTTCCATTCTATGCTGAATATTTTCATCTGATGTTGGAGTCTTTTGTATGTCGGTGAACATTTTTCGATATTCTTCTACTATGTCAGCCGAATTTTTCTTAGACTCTTGGAAAGATTCCATATTCACCTCATACTCTTGTTGAGGGTCAAGATTTTTCGGCTGTTCCAAATCTTCATCTAGTTCTGTGAAGTTAGTTTCCAAAGGAGGGACTTGTTCGTTTCCTTCAGGCTCTTCTAGCTGTTGTTGCTGAACTATTTCTTCCATGTCTGGTTGTATCTGAACTTCTTCCTGTTGAGTTTCTTGTACCTCATCTGCTGGCATTTCATATATTCCGAGACCGTTTTTAACAAGTTCCCTATCTAAGTCATCCGGACTCATAAACCTTTCTTCTTTCGTTCCGTCTCTATTTTTTACGCGTTTCATGAAGAGAGTTGAATTATCATTTAGCTCTGACATCAAATATCTCGGAGTAAATTCATCCATGTCATTTGGATGATATGCTATTAAATCATATCCCTTAGCGAGCTTGTATTTTCCAGGTTTGAGATTATATCCGATTTGATGCTGAACCATAAAGCTAAATAGGTTCGGGTCAGTATTTCCTTCCTTGAACTTTCTAATAGCTTCTTTATATCTGTCACTAAAGTCAAGAGTATCTGGGTAACCATAATCTTCCTTAAGCATTTTTAAGAATTCTTGGTTTCCTTTTTCTCTACTTCTTTTATGTCCTTGCTCTGTTTGTGGTTGTTGTTGTGCAGGGTTTTGAACTGTTGGTTGCTGTGCTGGTTGTGGAGGTGGTTGTTGTGCTGGTTTTGGTTGTGGTGCTGGATTTTGAACTGTTGGTTGCTGTGCAGGGTTTTGAACTGTTGGTTGCTGTGCTGGATTTTGAACTGTTGGTTTTGGTTGTTGTTGTGGTGCTGGATTTTGAACTGTTGGTTGTTGTGTTGGTTTTGGTGCATGCCTGTGTCTGTGTCCATGTGACGATGTAAATGTTTTAGGTAGTCCTGGTGCAGGTGCTTCTCTTGGAGGGTTTGGTGGTATATAAGTTCCACCAGCTGGCACATATGTTCCATCTGCAGCATAATGTCCTACCTGACTTTTCGTTCTTAAGAAAGCATTTACTAGGTCTGTTTTGGTCTGTTGTAACTCTTTTTCTTGACTTTCCACAACAGTTGCTCTAACGGCGTCATAGGCACTTTGAACTGCCTGTCTCGTTGCTGCATCTGTTATTTTCGTCATATTTTGTGCTACTTCTCTTAACTCTTTGTCGAAACCTTCAGACTTCAGTTTCTTTCCAGATGAGAAGTCGTTCACTAGTTTCACCTTACTATGAAGAGCTTCGAAGGCATTCTTAAAGTCAGCATTCATTAAAGCTTCATTTGAACTGTCTTCATCCGCTTGTATTTTTGTCCTTATTGACCCTATAAGTTGGGCTGCTTTAGCGTTGGCTTGGGCATCTAACCAGTCATTATTAGCTTTTATATATTCTGCGCTTTTCATTGCCTTTTGCATGGCTGCGTCGTTATTTTTACTTTCTTGTGCTAAGTTTTCATACTGTACGGTTTGGTTTTGCAACTGTAAAAGTTTTTCTGCCTTTACATTTGCTTCAACTTCTTTTTTATACTCATCGCTATCCATATATGTCTTCAGGGCTTTTTGTTTTATCTCTTCATCTTTCAGTACTTTATATTGAGTAGTATGGTTTTTCAAATTTATAACATCTTGTTCCATTTTTGCTACTTCTGCTGCTTTTTCTGACACTTTTTTCGCATATTCCTCTGTACTTAGTTCTTTCAGTTGTTCTTCTTTCTTCTTTTTCTCTACGTTTAACTCATTGAGTTTCTTTGTGTGTCTGTCATATTCTAGTTTCTTTTCGTTTTCACTTATTTGTTTCTGTATGTCTATGTTTGACTTTTTGACATCTGTTATTTGATTTTTGAGTGAACTCAAATTCATTTGACTTTGAGGGTTATAAGCTGTTCCGTCTGCAGCTCCACCATAGCCTGCCATTTTCGCTAAAAGTGCCGCTCTTAAACCTCCACTCTGTGCACCAATAACTCGGTTTAAAAGCATAGGGTTGCTTGACATTTGTTGCAACATAGTGGGGTCATTCATCATTTGTTGTTGCAACTGTTGTTGTGGTGTCAGTTTTACTATTGGATGTTTCAATGCTCCCTTCCTCTTACGTATATTCTTACGTAGCTTACGTGGCATTTTAAGTGAAGTTAAAAAGCGGTTTTTGACAGATGTTTATATGACACTTTTTGTTCAGCACAAAAAACTACTCGGTCAAAGTGTTGTCAGTTTTGTAAAATAACCGTCCTATCTCATTCTATAAGGGGAAAAGGCTTCTCAAAGTATACTTCCTTGGAACGCCTGTAACTTTTCCTGTAGCGACGATAGACCCTTACTTGTCCGGACAAAGTTATACTATTTTGAGTGCTCTACAAAAAAGTCAACGGCGACGACTCTCAAAAACCGTTGTGTAAAAAGTTTTACCGTTGGACAAAAAAGTATATATAGAAAACAAAAAACGTTTATAGTTCATTCAATATTTGAGATAAACCGTTTTTCCAACGGTAACTATTAAATAAAATAAAAAAATAGAGGGGGTTACCGTTGACGAAAACCGTTTTTATTCAATATTCATTTTCCACAAACTTCTGGTCAGTTCATTTTTGTCTAATGCAAGACCACAGTAGTAGCATGACTGACAATTCTTTACAAAAGCTCTTTAAAGGTCAAACACTTATATCCTCATACTTTACTAGTATGTCCAAAGAGGTTACACAGGTTTCAGTCCAATCAGACTCCAATCAGACACAAATTGAAGCTCAAATTCAACCAAAAGAAACTGCAGAAGTCGAACAAACATCAGAGCAACCTTCAGAACAAACAATAACACAACAAACTACAGAAGCTCAAGGTGTTTCAGTCCAATCAGACTCCAATCAGACACAAATTGAAGCTCAAATTCAACCAAAAGAAACTGCAGAAGTCGAACAAACATCAGAGCAACCTTCAGAACAAACAATAACACAACAAACTACAGAAGCTCAAGTTGTTTCAGTCCAATCAGACTCCAATCAGACACCAAACATACGCAAAGTTCAACTAAAAACTTACACTCCTACAGAACCAGAAGGTGTCTTCTCATTCTCAACAACAGAAGCAAGATATAGAAGACTCATTGCAGCTTATCCAAACAATTTGTCCTTAACAGACAACAATGACTATGATAGATATTTCAAAAGTATAATAAAACCAGTCGAAACATTAGAAAACAAAGTTCAAAACCCGACAGTAATGGTTGACTTTTTCTTGTCGAATTTGCCTTATGTTTCAACTATGATATCTCTTCAAGCAATTGACGAGTTCATTATTTGCTGTGAACCAAACTTAAGAGAACAGCTATATGAAACACTCAACGACTTTCGTCCCTATCCTTTAACTTACAATTGGAAAGAAGATGAAAACAAACGCGGTTCTTTCTCCTGGAATCTTTCCATTGTTGCTCCAGCTGGTGTAGCTGCACATCCATTCGAAATATATCCAAAATTGCATTACGAAAACAATATGCATATTATAACAACAGCCGCTTTAGAGATTCCTGAACGGATACCAGATGGAGAAGAAGTTTCAATAATATCTGTTCAAGCAAACCGAGTTGCAATGCCACTTACAGTATGCAAATTCACTCACTCAAGCAGACAATTCTATCAAAATCTTGAGTTCGTTTTTACTGGCACAGCCAAAATGCTTCTCAAAAAACCAGAACAAACCACAATAACCATCTTCTTATCTGGTTATTGTGAAGATGAAGACAATTCGGACGAAGAAGAAGAGGAGGAGGAAACAAGCGAAGACTCAGACGATATCCAGTTCATTTCCATCCGTAAAAAACATTAAAGCAAACATTTCAGAATAAAAATTTTAATTTTAATCTAAACAAAAATTTCTTATGGGCTAGAGGGCGCAACGCGCCTGGAAGCCCCACCTACCTGACCTAATAATATCACATAAACTCATATTATTTTCTAATATATAACTATTTTATATAAAAATCAAATTCAATGATCTTAAAAGCGAAGGATAAACCTCAAAATTTACGAATATAATGAGTGGGAATATAATGCTTATCTATCATAAAACCATATGAAATATCAATTTTTGCTTTACGCCTAATTTTTGACGACAATTAGCAAAAAATGTTAAATGTTAACACTCAGTCCATTTGAATATGAAAAATAAAATTGACTTTGATTAAATGTTTTTATTTATCATGCAATTCTTCTTGCGACCAAAGATTTGAATAAAAGTTCAAAAAATAAGATAGCTTAAAAAATAATATACGGTAGTGTTTACTAATAGATGAATAGTATATAAATTCTATTAAAATGGATTTGATCCAAAAAAATATATAAAATTTGATCATAAATAAAATCGTTTTAAATTACTTCTTCATTTAAATTATAACAATTATTTTTGATTTTTATTTATCATCCACATTCAAATTTGAATCTTATCACAAAAGAAGGACCACTTTTATGACTACTGCCAAATCTATAAGCAGAGAATGGCTATTTGAAGCTAAAAGAAGAATAGAAGAAGGTGAATCTTACAAAAGTGTGGGAAAGGAAGTTGAATTGGAAAATGGTAAAATTAAATTGAATGTTGCCGAAAATACAATAAGAAGAGCATTTCAACTTCAAGAAATCGAATTACCAAAAGTTAGTCGCGGCAGAAAACCAAATCCACCAACATTTGAGCAAAAACAATTAATTAATTCTTGTGTTTCACAATATAAAGGAGGAATTTCAAAAACTTATTTATTGATTAAAAGGTTTCAAAATATTGCTCAAAATCCCGATTGTGAGAAAGAAAAAGAAGAAATTGCAAAAGAATTTGAAAATATAGAAGATTTGACAAAAGATCAAATTTTTGACAATTTACAAAAAATAAAGCATCATCAAGTGGAAAAATTTATGATGGAATCAGGTTTATCTTCAAAAAGAGATTACAAACCAGCAGATCCACCTACCAAATATCGTGCCATATCAAAGAATTTGATATGGCACTGCGATATTCATTACCTTCACGGTAATGTTTCTTTTCCATTTTTTGCCATATTGGATGATATGACACGTAAAGTTCTCAAAACTAAATTATTGAAAAACAAGTCTTCCAACTCAACAGCGAAGGTTTTAAGAAAACTTTTAGAGGAGTTTATTCCTTACTGCATCTGGACCGATAACGGCGGTGAAAACCGCGGTGAATTCGGCCAGGTTATGCAGGAAAACGGAATAGTTTGGAAGCACACCTTGCCGTATATGCCAAGACAGAACGGCAAGGTGGAGCGCCTGTGGCCAAGCTTAGAAAAGTTTTTGCCAGACGAGTTGGATGATATTCAACAAATCAAGGACTCAGTTCAGCAGTTCATTGAAAAATACAACAATACACCACATTTATCTCTCGATATTAATCCAAAAACGAATAGTAATTACACTCCTAACGAATTATTCGAAGTTTCAAAATTTTGGTACGAGCCAGAAATGCAAAAATGGGAGTTATATATCAAAGACAAATGGGTCTTAACAAAATTTGAATAATTACATCATTTTAAATGACTACTAAACAATTTTATTTATGATCAAATTTTATATATTTTTTTGGATCAAATCCATTTTAATAGAATTTATATACTATTCATCTATTAGTAAACACTACCGTATATTATTTTTAAGCTATCTTATTTTTTGAAATTTTATTCAAATCTTTGGTCGCAAGAAGAATTGCATGATAAATAAAAAAAAAAAAAAAAAAAAAAAAAAAAAAAAAAGGTAGTGGGGCTTCCAGGCACTTCGTGCCCTCTAGCCCCGAAGATGTTTAGTATAAATGAAGTTTTTATTCGGAGGGCTTCCAGCCCATAAGAAATTTTTCCCAAGACCCAAGAGGAGGACCGAACCCCAGCCGACCAGCCGTTGACTTTTTTGTCATGATTTCATCGTATATGTTTTGTCAAGACTTCTTCGTAAATGTTTTGTCAAGACTTCTTCGTAAATGTTTTGTCAAGACTTCTTCGTAAATGTTTTGTCGAAACTTCTTCGTAATGAGCGTAAATGACCCAAAAATATATTTTATGTTAGAATGTTAGATCTAACATGTTTTCTAACCTCTTTTCTAACATCGTAGAAAACTCATGATTTCTTCGTAAATGTTTTGTCGAAACTTCTTCATCGTATATGTTTTGTCAAGACTTCTTCGTAAATGTTTTGTCATGATTTCTTCGTAATGAGCGTAAATGACCCAAAAATATATTTTATGTTAGAATGTTAGATCTAACATGTTTTCTAACACGTTTTCTAACATCGTAGAAAACTCATGATTTCATCGTAAATGTTTTGTCAAGACTTCTTCGTAAATGTTTTGTCGAAACTTCTTCGTAATGAGCGTAAATGACCAAATTTCAAGAGTTTTCTACGATGTTAGAAAACATGTTAGAAAACATGTTAGATCTAACATTCTAACATAAAATATATTTTTGGTGTAAATTTCATGAAATTTCATGAATTTCATCGTAAATGTTTTGTCAAGACTTCTTCGTAAATGTTTTGTCACTTTTCTGTCACTTTTCAGGGAAAAAACATTTTTATTATATATATAAAATGAATTTTACAAAACCACCGTTACCCTTCTTTGGAAATAAGAGTAGATGTAAAGATATTCTATTGAGAGAACTTAAGAAACTACCGAATGGTCTAACATTTGTAGACTTGTTCGGTGGAAGTTTCTATATATCCCATTTGTGCCATACTGTATTTCCTGACTCAAAGATTATATGCAATGACTTCGACAACTATATGGACCGTCTCAAACATATACCAGACACAAACAAAATATTGAAAGAGTTAAAAGAAAAGATACCTATAGGTAAGATGGAACGTATACCATTAGATAAGAAAAATACTGTCAGAGAGGTTTTGAAAAAGGCAGAGTATATTGACTGGGAT